TTGCCAAACAAAGAGAATAAACTGCCTAATAGTATCGACGTAAAACGAATACCTCTAATATCGACGTAATAAAAGAATCAATAAAACTATTAACAACCCAAATTGTAAAATAAACTTTTAAATTGACAAACTTTTATATTAGTTGTCAAAAGAAGAGAAGAAACTGCCTATCAATTTCAATTTGGATAAAATATTGAACTAAAATTATTAGACTATAGGTCTAAGCAGGATAGCAATAAATTTGAATGGCGGGCAATAATACATCTAGTTATAATGGATGCAATTAAGATTTAAGGGCCCGTGCAACCCCCTGACACAAAGATATACGCCCATATATTACCAGAATACAAGTTGTTGTTTGGATGCTTCGAACATATTTCTGTTTAAACAATATATTACTCATGGTGAAGGTGACGAATCCTTTAAGCTTTAGGCCCTGTTTGTTTCATCATTTTTCATTTGCATTCAAATGGTCCATTTAGATGATTCATTTGGATGATGCATTTGAATGATGTTTGTTTTAATTCATTCAAATGGATCTTTTTTTGTTTGATCATTTTGTAATTCATCCTAAATCTCATATAGACCAAAATGACTAAAATACCCATGCTTTCATTTTGACAAATAATCACATATAAAAACTAAATAAATTATTATTTTAACATATAAAAATTAATTTTATTTATAGTTATTAAAATATATACAAAATAATTATACAAGTTTGGCCGGAAAACATGATTTTGCGGGTTTTGGCAAAAGATATAATTTTTCTGTTTCGGCGGGAAAATATGTTTTTTGTGATTTTTAACGAAAAAATTAATATGATAAGAAATATGATTTGCCGTTGGCGGAAAATATAACTTTGCAGTTTTGGCGAGAAAATATGATTTTACGGTTTTGGCGAAAAAATATGATTTTATGGTTTTGGCTGAAAATGTAATTTTGCAGATTTGGCGGAAAACATGAGTTTGCGGTTTTGGTGGAAAAACATGATTTTGCAGTTTTGGCGGAAAAATACGATTTTGCAGTTTTGGTGGAAAAATATTATTTTGCGGTTTTGGAGGGAAAATACGATTTTGCAGTTTTGGCGGGAAAATATGATTTTGCAGTTTTGGCGGGAAAATATGATTTTGCAGTTTTGGCGGGAAAATATGATTTTGCAAATTTTGGTGGGAAAACATGATTTTGCGGTTTTGGCGGGAAAATATGATGTTGCAGTTTTGGCGGGAAAATATTATTTTGCAGTTTTGGTGGGAAAACATGATTTTTCGGTTTTGGCGGGAAAATATGATTTTACAGTTTTAGCGGGAAAAATAATTTTGCGGTTTTGGCGGGAAAATATGATTTTGCAGTTTTGGCGGGAAAACATGATTTTGCGGTTTTGGCGGGAAATATGATTTTGCAGTTTTGGCGGGAAAATATTATTTTGCAGTTTTGGCGGGAAAACATGATTTTGCGGTTTTGGCGGGAAAACATGATTTTGCAGTTTTGGCGGGAAAATATTATTTTGCAGTTTTGGCGGGAAAACATGATTTTGCGGTTTTGGCGGGAAACATGATTTTGCAGTTTTGGCGGGAAAAATAATTTTGCGGTTTTGGCAAAAAATGTAATTTTACAGTTTTGGTGGAATAGCGCTTTCTATAATTTTACATGAAAAATTATGATTTTACAGTTTTTGGCAGAAAAACGCAATTCCACGATTTTACGATTTTGACGTAAAATAATAATCCGTGATTTCATGATTTTTAGAGTATTTTTTTATTCCAATATGTAATTTTAAAAATATTAAATAAGAAATCTATAGAAAATAATATTATTTAAAATATGATTGTATAAGAGGGTATATCTGTCTTTTGTTCTTTTTGAATGAACCATCTCCATCCAAATGGTTCAATCAAGTTCATCCAAATGAGTTTCATAAATTTGCCTAAATTTAAAAACTCATTCAGATGGATCATCTAGATGATCCATCCAAATGCTTGTTAAATTGTCAAAAACAAACATCATTTTTCATCTCCATCTAGATGGATCATTTGGATGGAGAAACAAACAGGACCTTAAAGACGTTGATGACTATTGTGGCATATCAGCTTTAACAATCATTTTATGTATATCATCTACTTAATTTGTTTTAATTCAAGGAGAATAGGAGATATAGGATTCAAAGTTTGTTTTCTGAGGACATCTAGCACGGAGTTATAATATGTTGTAGTTTTGGTGTGATATGATATTTTTGGTGGTAAAATATATCCTTTTTCCACATAATTATTATATTGTTGATGTAGCACACTTTTTAAAAGGTACAGCTTTCTATATATTTTGATTTTGGAAACTTAACTTTTTAAAACCATGAATTCTTTAGATATAATTGACATTGAATGAATGAATGAATTACTTAGGGGGTGTTATTCAATGGTGGAGTTAAAGTCAATTCTTTAAGGTTTAGATTTGTTTTCTGATATTGGTTTTAAGAATCTGTTTGTGTGGATTTCAAAATCTCTGCAGTATATCTTGGATTTTGATTCTAATAATTTACTCATGAAACTCCAAAGAGGTTTCATTTGAAATGACTTAATATACAAAGATTTTACAAGTCTTTTAGTTTTGAATAACACTGGATTTTACAAACCTTAAATAATTGACTTTAACTCCACCATTGAATAACACCAAACTTTTAAAATCTAATGAAGTATAAAATCTAATAACACCAGATTTTAACATTAGATTTATAATCATTATTTGAATAACACTGGATTAGTGTTGGATTTCAATTCTATTAAAATCCATCATTGAATAACACCACCTTACTTTCTTTACTCCTAATATGATTTTGATCTATTCAAGTATTGATTAGATTATTATCTTAAGAAAACTACACGTTGCTAGTTGCAACCAAATATATGATTAATCCAAGTAGTAGTTATATTATATAAATAAACTGTCTATATAACTCCCAATCGAATCAGATCAACAAAGACAAAAAGAAACAGAGTATCAAAAAAAATGTCAATCTTGCTCTGTTTCCTCTGTCTTTTACCTGTTTTCTTAGTTTCCTTATCAATCTTCTCAAAAAAACTTAAACCCTCAAAATGGAAGCTTCCTCCGGGACCAAAGACGCTCCCGATCATCGGAAACTTACACAACCTCAAAGGATTGCCTCACACATGTTTTCGAAATCTCTCCCAAAAGTTCGGACCAGTGATGCTTCTCCACTTCGGATTCGTCCCCCTGGTCGTGATCTCATCAAAAGAAGGAGCAGAAGAAGCTCTCAAGACCCAAGATCTTGAATGTTGCAGCCGACCAGAGACTGTCGCGACAAGAATGATCTCTTACAACTTCAAAGACATTGGATTCGCTCCTTACGGTGAGGAATGGAAAGCGTTGAGGAAGCTCGTGGTTATGGAGCTTTTGAACACGAAAAAGTTTCAGTCTTTCAGGTATATTAGAGAGGAAGAGAATGACTTGTTGATCAAGAAGCTAACCGAATCCGCTCTGACACAATCCCCTGTGGATCTGAAGAAGACCCTTTTCACGCTAGTCGCAAGTATCATATGCAGGCTCGCGTTCGGGATAAATATCCACAAGTGCGAGTTCGTAGACGAGGACAACGTTGCGGATCTAGTTAACAAGTTTGAGATGCTAGTCGCTGGTGTTGCGTTCACTGATTTCTTCCCTGGAGTTGGTTGCCTTGTCGACCGGTTCTCAGGTCAGAACAAGACACTGAACAATGTTTTCTCGGAACTCGACAGTTTCTTCCAAAACGTGCTCGATGATCACCTTAAGCCTGGAAGACAAGTATCAGAGAGCCCTGATGTTGTTGATGTGATGATTGATCTGATGAAGAAGCAAGAGAAAGATGGAGAATCTTTCAAGCTCACAACAGATCATCTCAAAGGAATCATCTCGGTAAATCTTCTTCTTTAGACCGCAATAACGCTAAACTCTTGTAAAGATTTGAACTTACGCGTCTGTGTTTTGTAACAGGACATATTTCTTGCAGGAGTAAACACAAGCGCCGTCACTTTAAACTGGGCGATGGCCGAGCTGATCAGAAACCCGAGAGTGATGAAGAAAGTGCAAGACGAGATTCGGACAACACTTGGGGACAAGAAGGAGAGAATCACAGAGCAAGATCTAAACCAACTTCACTACTTCAAGCTTGTGGTCAAGGAGACATTCAGGTTACATCCAGCAGCTCCACTTTTGCTTCCAAGAGAGACATTATCTCATGTCAAGATCCAAGGCTACGATATTCCCGCAAAAACACAAATGATGATCAACATCTACTCGGTCGCACGCGATCCAAAGCTATGGACAAACCCTGATGAGTTTAACCCTGACAGGTTTCTTGACAGTTCCATAGATTACAGAGGACTGAACTTTGAGCTGTTACCATTTGGTTCTGGCCGGAGAATCTGTCCCGGGATGACGCTGGGAATCACCACCGTGGAATTGGGACTCTTGAATTTGCTTTACTTCTTCAATTGGGAAGTGCCTGTAGGGAAGAATGTGAAAGACATAGACTTGGAAGAAACAGGATCCATCATTATTAGCAAGAAAACAACTCTTGAGCTCGTTCCACTTGTTCATCACTGAAATGACGATCATGCAACAATTAGTCAATAAGATTATGTATTTGTATTCAGCTTCTTTATCTTGACTTGGTTGTATTTGTATTATATATATTAAAAATCATTATCTTAAAACAGAGTGATATAAAGTATAAACACAAAGTATTTTATAACCATTAAATTATGAGAATTGAATTATTTAATTAGAACTAGTTAGGATTAAAAAACAAATTAATTAATTAGATCCGCAAGACGCGTTACTATATTTGGGTCCGCCGCCCACGTTGCCGTGAATAAAAAAAAGTATTAATAGAAACCAATTATCATATATATATGCTTAAATTAATTAACAGGTAGGATTAGTTAACATTATCAAACAAAGAAATGATTAAAAATAGAAACGATCACTCTCAGCAAGAAAACAACTCTTGAACTCAATTCCATTTCTTTAATACTGAAATTTAAATGAAACAAAATAGTGAAATAAAAGAAAAAGAAAGCTTCTTGTGAGACAACTAATGTGATCATATATATGTTACAACAATGATGAAAATTGAGATGATACATAAAATCAATAGTAGCCTCTATAATAATTATTCTTGTAATTCTGATTGTCGTTCTGTTGATTTATTTCAGCAGTATATTCGGAGGACAAGGTACTCGTCGTCTTCATACTTCTTCCTTCAGGTTCCTTGAGATACATCCGGTCATCTAAGTACGCTGTTATTTCGGCTATGATCAATAGTAGATCCGACGTGTCCTTTTTCGCCTTCAATTTCTGCAAGAAATGCTCTCTAACAACATTCACAACCTTCATAAACTGAGATTTGTACCGCTGATGAAGACCAAACCCTGCCGTCTACACACAAACATATACGACTGTTATGGTTTGAAGACAGACTTTTTTTTATTTAGAATCGGTAACTGTAATCAATGCAAACCTGGAGAAAGGAGTTCAAGGCTGTTGCAGTGGCTCTGTTGGCTGGGATTTTGTTAAGAAACCGGGCTAACCAAGCCCACATCCATGTTCCATCCCATGAACGTTAGTAGCATTGCCACCGCGGATATCGGTCTGTAATTACCATTAGAAAAAGACTCACATTAGGGGACTATGGAAATAACAATGCATAAGAGATAGTTGCATATAAGAGGCAAAAACCTGAACAAGTGCACCGTAGAGCCTCATTATAGAATCTAGGCGTTCATATGCGCAGAGCCGGACCATAAAAAAAACATATTGTGTTGATCGATGGAAAGTGCAATCTTTCTAGTCAAACAACTCTTATGGAGCACAAACTGAGACAGAAGAAAAAAAAAACGAGAAAAACTAAGTTGAAAGATGCTCTAACTTATGTACTATTGCAGCATTTCTAAGCATAATGCCGGCATAGCCAACAGATTCGGAATTGACATCACATGACCTCGAATTCGTGGCTTTACCAGTCCCAGGCAAGATCAAAGCACTTGCCAAGTCTTACACAAAACACAAAAACACGAAACCTTATTGTAATAAAAAAGGCAGAGTACACTTTGAGAAAACACATTGCATGCATTATTGAAAAAAGCAAATCCAAACGCAGAAAACAACTTGGTCAAACATTAATAGTTTGTTTGTTATTATTACACCACATAAGAACGACAAACATAATCTACCGATTATACGGATCATAGATAGTCGTCTGCCTAAACGGCGACGCGTTTGGGATGCCGAAACGAGCGAATTACTTCTTCGAAAGTTCGAGGTCGCTTATCTTGTGGTCCCCTGCACACGACACCCTTGATAGACAAGAATCCTGTCTGCTCGTTGAAGTCAGTTTTAATGACAGCTTTGCGTTCAACATCCGCACCAACACCACGAACGACCACTCCTTTAAAAACTATGTAGAGGATTGAATTTTTGGCATTGAGCGGCGCCTCCTTCTCAGCAGTGTCTATCACCGCTTTCACGATCACCAGATTGGAGAAATCAGGATCATCATTATTCTCTGCACGCTCAATTGCAAGCTCCAGGTAAAGACGAATCCAGTGAGTGTCTAGCAAATCTGATCCCTCCACCAAGTAAAGGCCTTGTAAATAATCATCATCATCTAGGGGCCAAGAAGGCATTGGAGAACAACACGGAAAGTCAAGCGGGTGTTCAGTGGGCACATTGGTGGGCTCACCTCGGTCACCTTTAACTTTGGCAATAGAACAAACCAGATCCAAACGCCCAGATCCATTTTTGATTTCATCGACTCGAACCTGGAGAATTTGCCTCCGACGGTCTGCAGCCAAAGTTATGAAGAAAGTAGAAGCAAGATTTCGGGTCCTGACGTTGAATTTGATGATATTATCAAGCTCCCACTTTGTACCCTGAAAAAAAGAGAAATTGAATTGTGGGTATTGATAACAGAGATATACACACACAATAATATGTTTGGATCAACATCATGTTTATATATACCTCCTTCATATTGAAGCGATGAAGACCAAATCTTGCATAAAGGGTGACCTCCCTACGAAAAGGAGGTCCCCACCACCCTTCCTCTGGAACAGTGATGCAAATCATTCCACCATAGTTCACCGGATGTGGTGGTTGTTTGATACCTTCGACGTCGAAACCCTAGCAGCCAAAAAATAAAAAAAAAGATCGGATTCAATTCAGGATGATTACACATAGATCGGATTCAATTCAGAGATGATTACATATAGATCGGATCCACGAAATCCACAATCATCGATCAAACTCTAAACAGATAATTAAGAGATATATAGAAGAAATTACATACATCCGTAAGAGCAACTTGACGCCAGTAGTGATTTACAGCACGGTTGTACTCCTCATCTTCTTCAACCCTATTCCAACTCATCATTTTCTCCTCGTCAAACGGTGCTCGCCGGACAGATTTAGGTCTCGATTGAGAAAATCCAAAATACAAGGAGGAATAACGGAGTGAAAGACAAAATCCGACAATTCAAATCTTAATCTTATTTATCTTATTTTAACATTTTTTTATTTTTTAGTAACTTGATAATAAAAGTTAATATTAAAAAAAATATATAGATAAAAATCTCCTTAAAAAAAAAAAAAATCAATGTCAAATATAGAATTAACAAAAGTCAATAATGCTAAACAAAATAACAAGAATCAAACAGATTTTTAAATTTTTTAATTTTCCTTTGTAACACGTCAAGGTATTATTGATAATTTCATGTCTTGAGCCTCCCAAAGCATTTTTACTAACCAAGTAACCATGTACATCGCATTAACCATACAAGTCTCACTAATCTCACAGTTCTGTACACTTGATCCACAAAACCTTAAAAGATGACGAGTCACTACACAACCACCAACTCTATTGCCTATCTCTTGCTTTGTATCTTCATCACATCTGCGACTGCACATTCACTCATACGACAAGTCACTGACGATTTCAACACAAACCTGCATCGTATGCCATCTTATTTATTCTTATATTCTATAAAATGTGCATGGAAGATCCATCTATATCTTTTGGATTTAATGTTTGAATTGTGTATATAAATATAGACAATACAAAGGGAGACTTAGGTCTAGAGTATTTACAATTCAATCCTTAATATACTTATCCCTTATACACCCCCGCAAGATGGAGATACTTGTGTAGCTCCAATCTTGTTGTTCAGCTCTATGAATTGTGGTCGAGGTAAGGGCTTAGTGAGAGAGTCTGCCAATTGATCTTTGGTGGAGATATGGGCGACACGCAGTGCACCAGACTGAATAAGTCACTGACGATTTCAACACAAACCTGCAGCGTATGCCATCTTATTAACATTTGAAATAATTAAATGATTTGATAGTGAGTTTGAATTTGACCAAGTTTTCAAAAACTAATAATGAAATATGTATTTTTCTGAAATAATAATTTTTTTGTTTTTTATTTATATTTCTAACATATGTAAAATATAAAAATATATAGAAGAGTGAATTTTTCGATAAGTTATCATGATTTTTTCTTTCTTTCTTTTTTGTGTTATGATATGATTTTATTTTTTAGCATAAATTTTTCTAAGTATGGTTAGTCAATTTAGCATAGCATATTTAAAACACGTATAATATATTCGATCATGAGATTTACTAATTAACGATTACACGGTAGGTAATTAACCATATATAGAATCATTTGATTTGACTAATGTATCCACTGTGGCATCCTAATTTTCAAAGTGACAACTCGTAATAACATCACATGAACTAAATGTAGTCAACATATTCGACAAAAAAAAAAATTAAAAACTAACAAAGAAAAACTAGAAAAAGGAAAAAAAAAGTTGTTTTCCGATAACAACCAGTAAAGAGATATATAAATACGACCACGAAGCCACCTCCTATTTCGCGTCAAACCAAATCAACGAACGCCTCCAAACACAAACTATGGTGGTGATATTCGCTGATCAAGAACCCGGTTGGAGATGTATTGGGTCGGATTGTCCGGTCGGGTCATCGAATTGTGATATTGTTGTAGCGGAAGCTATCGGTTGAAATAGAAACAAAACAAGACAGGAGCTTCAAGGATCAATGGATCAAGATGCTCTGTTTTGTTGCTCAAAATTCTTTGTAAAACAGGGAGAATTCGAAGACTTGAGAAACCTCTTTTCTTATGGTATAAAAACCAACCCTTAAAAGAAAAGATACAAAACCTTATATAGGCATAGTCTTAGGCGACTTAAGCAACACTCAAAACCCTAAGAATAATGGAAATTCAAGAAGTAAAGGAACACTACCAAATAGACAAAATAACCAAAAAGAAGAATAGCTTAGGAAACAAGTAACGGAGATGTCGCTACATCAGAATACCGTGAATAAAAAAAAAAAGTATTAATAGAAACCACTTATCATATATATGCTTAAATTAATTAACAGGTAGGATTAGTTAACATTATCAAACAAAGAAATGATTAAAAACAGAAACGATCACTCTCAGCAAGAAAACAACTCTTGAACTCATTCCATTTCTTTAATACTGAAATTTAAATAGTGAAATAAAAGAAAAAGAGCGCTTCTTGTGAGACAACTAATGTGATCATATGTTACAACATTGATGAAAATTGAGATGATACATAAAATCAATAGTAGCCTCTGGAATAATTATTCTTGTAATTCTGATTGTCGTTCTGTTGATTTATTTCAGCAGTATATTCGGAGGACAAGGTACTCGTCGTCTTCATACTTCTTCCTTCAGGTTCCTTGAGATACATCCGGTCATCTAAGTACGCTGTTATTTCGGCTATGATCAATAGTAGATCCGACGTGTCCTTTTTCGCCTTCAATTTCTGCAAGAAATGCTCTCTAACAACATTCACAACCTTCATAAACTGAGATTTGTACCGCTGATGAAGACCAAACCCTGCCGTCTACACACAAACATATACGACTGTTATGGTTTGAAGACAGACTTTTTTTTATTTAGAATCGGTAACTGTAATCAATGCAAACCTGGAGAAAGGAGTTCAAGGCTGTTGCAGTGGCTCTGTTGGCTGGGATTTTGTTAAGAAACCGGGCTAACCAAGCCCATCCATGTTCTATCCCATGAACGTTAGTAGCATTGCCACCGCGGATATCGGTCTGTAATTACCATTAGAAAAAGACTCACATTAGGGGACTATGGAAATAACAATGCATAAGAGATAGTTGCATATAAGAGGCAAAAACCTGAACAAGTGCACCGTAGAGCCTCATTATAGAATCTAGGCGTTCATATGCGTCTGAATCCCAAGCTGACTGAATTCATTAGAGATAATTAAATTAATAAGAAAGACACTCGTTTTTAACAATTTTGTCAAAATATTTTTTTTTTTTGTTTCTGTACCTGTGAGTTTACAATATGCTTTGGAACAGTGTAAATGCAAGCTTTGTGGAATTCAGCAAGAAGAATATCCATAGCTTGTGGAAACTGTGGGCATCAATAGCAGATGATATTCAATAACAATAACAAGAACAAAAATGCACCGTAAAAATATTAAAAATCAAAAGTGATTTTGTACCTGGGAGGTGATGTAAACAATGACATAGCTGGATGCAAAAGGGTTTGGTTTCTCCTTAGTGGTGACCATCTGAAAGAAAAGAATCAGCACATCGGTCTTAGATTTCTAATCACAGAGTCCAGAAAATAATCCAACATATGAACGTATCAAAGAGTTCTTCACCAATTAGATCCGAGCACAATGATTTGAGTCATTTTCAACATTCAACAATACAACATGAACAAGTGAACGTTAAACAGAGCAGACATAAAAGTTACCTTCTTTGCAAAAGCTGCAATACTTATGGATACCGGACAACGAGGGTCTTTAAATATTTTGACAATTTCATTGATTTTCCCACTGCAAAAGCCCAAAGGAAAAATAGTTAAGAACAAGGAACGCCTAAGTAAGGTTAGGCCAAACCAAACCCTCCTTAAATGTATCTAAATATTTCTAACCAAAGGCTTAAGACTGACATTTTCACAAGTTAAATAGATCAAGGCTATCGGAATATCAAAAAGCTAGGCATATACCACTAGAGGACAGGAAAGGCAAAGCTTCAATGGAATGTAACAAATAATCTTAAAACCCTGTCTGGGAAAAACTGATAAATTACAGGCAGAAACCATGAACCATACCTTACACTATCCTTTGTCCCACTTATTTGCCTTATGATTCTTCCAATATGCTTTTCAAAACTGCTAAAGTTCTACAAGTAGTAAAAAAGTAACATGACTTGTGAGCAAATGTTGATGATAAGACAGATAACAACGTAAAAAATGTAGATACCTCATTTGAACGTGACTTTAGCGATTGGTTCATTGTTTCTAATTCTTCGAGCTTTTTCAATCTGTGGTTCTCTAATGTCAAAGCACTTTCTGCAGCTCGAATTGATTTACCTTGCACGATTAATAAAAAAATAAACACAGCAAGAAATGAGATCACAATCTTCAATATGATAAAGAAATAACAATTACAGCAACATAGATGAAAATTATGTACTAAATAGAAGATAGCTCACCCCCAGCTTGAGCATTTGATGTAGCTGAACTCCCCGTAACACTCTCTATCACAGCCTTCTGTTCCGCAAGCTTTTGTTCGGCAGCTTTGCGATCTGCTACTTCTTTTTCAGCTACTTCTTTGGCTGCCTTTCTCTCAACTTCTTTCTTTTCTTCTTCAGCTCTGATTTTTGCTAGCATTTCAGCCTCTGCGCGAGCTTTTTCTTGACGTATTCTCTCTTCTTGATGAGCCCTTTCCTTCCTTCTGGCCTCCTCCTGAGCTTCCTCGCTCCTTATCTTTCTTTCTTCTATTTGCGATTTAATTTTATGTTCACGTTGGACTGCAGTCAGATGGGTATCAAGTGCTTCAGCACTGAAAACGGCAAAAGAAAAACTCATTAAGAATTTGGAGACAATGGAAGAAGAAAAATCACAGTAAATGAACTGAACTACAAAGAAAATGTATTCCTAAAACTAGAATGCCAGGAACAATAGCTTACACTTTTCGCTGATATTGAAGATCAAGTTTCCGTTCAACTTCTTTTCGAGTTTCACCGTACTTTTCAACCCGGGCTATGGCAGAGCGAGACGTTTCAATCTCAGTCATTATTTCCGTTTCAACAACTGACACTTGATTCCTAATGTCGTCCTGTTATCAAGAGATCCAAATTCTCAATCAGTCGAGTACACCAATCGAAATAAAACATTCCACAATACGTAGCTCTTTATCAACAAAAAAAATAAAAAAATCAGCCCACCTTAATTTCAGTTTGGTGGTCATTAATCACCTCATATAGGGCACTCTCAGCCAGACCCATTTTATTCATCATATACTCAGGTTCATGATCAAACTCATCATCAGATTCATCACTGTATGAACAACAAAATAACCATATAAAACATTAAACAACACTC